AAGCAGTACCTAATATTAATCTGTATATACATACATGCATATTTATCTATACGTGAACGTTTGTACATACATATACGAATGAGTGTATGCATCTGATGAACGTACTGCCAATGAAAGATTGGTCGCGATCATCGATGTCAGCTCCGCCAACTTGCCAAGTCAAAGGTATCACGTTTGCACCAAAATCATAAGCCAAAACAATAATGCACACACACGCTGTGACAATTGAGATATCATCTAAATACATATGCAGATTAAATCAGAATTTCCTGCATACTAAATTTCTTATCAGTTTATTCTACTTGTTAGAGGGTCACATGGACCACCCCGAAGCCATTGCGGAGTAACCCAGAGATCGGAGGAGATATAAAAGGTAAGAAAAGAAGCTGTGAAGCGATTGTTGTGGTAACTAATATTCAACTACATATAATTTATGTATGTTTTCATGCGTTATTAACGAGTTCTTATAACCAGCTTTTAGTGATTCTCTTCTGAGATGACCAGGTAAAGGAGTAGCTTGAAAAGACGGACGATTGGTACTTTAGAGTTTCGAATGGAGACTATGTAACTCAGCGCCCTCTCATCACAAAGTAAAATTATATCTGTGTTCGCAGTCGTATGCTGCGAATGCGAACACTATACTAAAGCCAGCCTTTCGACATAAGCTACTATTCCATACGAACACGGATTTCTTTGTATAATTTTAAAAGATGTAAAAAAGCATTTGAAAGGCTTTATTATTTTATTTTATTTTACAGGTGTCAAAATATGTACTTATTTAAATCAATAAAAAACTTTCTAACATTTATTTTTCGGTGCCGCCTGTATAGCAAAAGTCCGCTCCTGGATTCGTATATCATACGCAGAGATGCGATTTTTACGATTGTTGCTCTGCCTACAATATTTCAATAAAACAAAAAGTGTCATGTGGCATAAAGCAGGGTCATAAAGTTTGAGGCGTTTGATGCACATAATGTAGTTTTCGCTGGAGACAGAGATGTGTAAATGCTTTATTCACATTTATAGAAGAATGAAAATTGTTGTTCTCCATTTGAACGCATGTTGCGAAAAAATGCAATAATTTTTTGTAAAGTTACAATTTGTACCTATACTCGTAAATTTCTGGAATAATATTCTTTGAAGAATACTAGCAACGATATGTTAAAACGCTCCTCGCAACGTGTGTTAAGACCGCAATCAAAATTGAAATTAGGCTACTCGGGCATAATTTGAGAGTGGAATTGAAACCTTCCGCAAGTCGCCTAAAGGTCTGATTATGCATACTTCGCATAACTTCGCACAACCATTTGTACAAGTGCAATAAAAATTTATCTTAAGAAAATGTGAAGCAAAGTCTAAACTAAACAGATCGCAAAGTTTTTAAAAGTTCGGTTAAATTCTGGGTAATGGAATACGTACAAATTACTTACAAAGAACATACCATACTAAAATTTCAAATTTATGCGAAGTTATACGAAGTATGCATAATCAGACCATAACTCCCTGTTGAAATTTTCGGGCGATTCTCTGTCAGCCAGCATTTCAAGCCCTTCGCACTCACGTATTTCGGCCTCTCTCTACTTATTGTAGTTCCCTATAGCGGTCCCACATAGGCCGCGCTGCGCCTGATCGCTGTGTGGCCCTGCAGGCGGCATCTTTTTCTCTGCAGGTTCTTTAGACTCCCCATCGTACCAGTTGTACTTTCGGGATAGCTGAAACTACTTCGACGGCGGTACTTAATGAGCGGGAAATGTGGTTCCACCGCTCGCATATGTCGGTTTGTTGGAGAGTGCTCTCTGAGAGCAGGTGTGAGTGTCGAGTAGCGAATGCATTGGCCGTCTGTTTTGACTGCAGCTTTTCGACGTAAAGCTTCTCTTGCATTTTTGGGCGCACATTTTTTGCTACGAAGTGCCGGGTGCTTATCTTGCCTGCAGCAAGAAATTTGTCCGAGTCGATTTTTGGCCCTCGGAGTGTACGTACGTCTAAAACACTGGAAGCATGCATTCAGTCTATCACAACATGATCGATTCGGTTTCTCGTTTTCCGATCTGGAGACAGCCACGTAGCTTGATGGATCTTTTTATGCTTGAACCTAGTACTGCA